GTTATACTGCAGTGAAAACAGGAGAGGAGGTGTCTGCTCTCCTAGACCTTATATTCTGGAGTGGGGGGGGTGTGCAGACAGTAAGCCCAAAGAGAGATCAGGAAGGGCAGTGAGTACTGTGAAGGGCCCGTGGTAAGGGCCAGGATATGGGCTGCTGTGGTCAGGGAAGGAGAGGACATTTGGTGTGACATCTGACCTGGAAAGGCTCCGGGGAGCAGCACAGCCCTCTGGGGAGTTGCCCTGGTGGCACAGGTCTCTTCCGTCTGCCTTGCAGGTGAAGCAGATCATGGAAGAGGCCATCACGCGCAAGTTTGTCCACGAAGACAGCAGCCACATCATCTCCTTCTGCTGTGAGTCGGTGGCCGTGGGAGAGTGGGCAGTGAAGCCACTCATGTAAGAGTTTCTGGAAAGGCGTCTTCCAGCCAGAATCGCGCGTCATGGTTTGCATTGTGACTCCCAAGTTAATTTTGGATCCTGAAGGGACTCAGTTGGAGAACCTGGAAATGCAGAATAGTGAGAGAGGCAGTTGACAGTGACTTCCGCACCCCCCCTGGAGAGGTGGCTGAAGCTCTTCACGTGGGCACCACCTACACGCTTAACCGTGGTGTCCTGGCCCCTGAGCAGCAACCTCCGTGCTGGTTCCCTGCTCTGCCATGAGCTGGCGAGATACAAGAATAGGGTGGCTGGGGACTTTCTAAACACAGGGAGTGAAGAGCCACTGAAACCTCCCGAAGGACCATGGCCAGCTGGCTCAGCAAAGGCACAGGCCTGGTGCTCGGAACGTGACTCAGACTTCTCTGCTAAACCCACTCTGCCCGCCAGGTTCCAGGATAATGGCACTGCCAGGTGCTGCTGTGCTTTGACGGTGGCTAGAGACGGGCCTTAGCGTGAGTCTGAAGTCAGCACTCAGCTCTCAGTCAGTGTGCGCCCTGGGGGTGATTCTCATCCTTCCTGGGAACTTGGTCTTCAGTGACGGCAGTGTCTCCTGAAGGCTTGCTGCAGTCCCCCTTTCTATGACTTCGGCCCCAGGAAGAGCCTGAGCAAGGGCACCCGCCAGCCCACCAGCTTCATGTGCATGGCTGGGACACCACGCAGGGGTTCACAATATGCTGAGCATGTGCGTGACCTGGGGGACCAGATCCTCAGTTCACCTGCTTTTCACCTAGACAGACCTGTGTCTGCCTCTTGCTGGGTGACTTTGGGCAGGAATCAGGGATTGAACTCCAGGGCCCTCGACCACTGAGCCACATCCCAGACCTGATCTGTGTTTTATTTAGAGACAGAGTCTCACTGAGTTGCTTAGCACCTCACATTTGCTGAGGCTGGATTTGAACTTTCCATCCTCCTGCCTCAGCCTCCCGAATCCCTGGGATGGCAGGTGTGGGCCACTGCCACCCACAAAGTCTTATTTTTTAAGTGGAATGTGTTTATTTAAATATACACACATATATACACACTCAGGTACTTATAGGTGTATATATAAATATATGTATTTTCATATGTGTATATGAGTACATATGAATAAGTACATATGTATATGAGAATATTATATATCTAGGTTTATTTGAAACATTAATATTTTGTTATATTTACGTAGCTTTTTATTTTCTCCTGGACT